AAAACTTTAACCTGAAGCGGGACAAACGAACGAACGGACGGACGGACGAACAAAGGCACGCACAGACCGAAAAACATAATGCCCCCATACTATCGTAGGTGATAACAATCCACTTTCTTCAGCTCCAGAAGCATGATTTAGTGGCACACTTTAATTTGTAGAAATGACAAAAATATATCAAACATTTCCCGGTGAACTCCAAAGATAAAAAAAAAAATCTCTTTGACATTCGTTGATAAAAATCAAGCATATAACTCCTATAAATCAAAATTTGTAAAAAGATTGGTAAGAAAAACCCCAAGATATAATAATATTTTGCTTTATATAGTCATGAGTTTTAAGGACAAACAGTAACTTGTTTGATGGGAGTAATTACAATACATTTGCATAACAATGGCTTTTCCATTTAAATGGGTGTTGAAAAGGAGGTTTAGTTATTCCTGTAGATCAATTAGTAATTTTAGGTTTTTATAAATGTTAGGCCTGAAAACTAGGGATAAAATAGCTGTTTCAGTGTATATTTGCAGAAGAGGGAGGGGCAATTCTGTCTCCTCACTCCATGTTACAATTATTTTTAAAATCTGACTGTAAAAAAGTGAATGGAATTTTGCTTGTCATATATGGTTAATATTTGATAGTTAGGGACATGCATGATTTTGCAAGGATTATTGACTAATTATATAATAAAATTGAGAATGGAAATGGGGAATATGTCAAAGAAACAACAACCCGACCAAAGAGCAGACAACAGCCGAAGTCCACCAATGGGTCTTCAACGTAGCGAGAAAATCCCGCACCCGGAGGTGGTCCTCAGCTGGCCCCTTAATAAAATTGTGTACTAGTTCAGTGAACATGGACGTCACACTAAACTCCAAAACATATAAATGAACTCAAATTAAAAAACATACAAGACTAACAAAGGCCAGAGGCTCCTGACTTGGGACAGGCGCAAAAATGTGGCGGGGTTAAACATGTTTTTTGAGATCTCAACCCTCCCCCTATACCTCTAGCCAATGTAGAATAAAACAAAACCTGCATTAATCAGATTGGCCAATTTTCAAAGCACACTATTTTTTTTTTTGATTTGGGTTTGTGGTTTAAATATCATGATGAAGGATGATCTGGATTTTTATCTTAATCATTAAAACAAATTTTTACAATAAATTACTTATAATTACATAGTATTACAACATCATTTCAACCAATATACATATTAATAAATATATCTTTAACTATATCTTTAACTACAAATAAACATTTATTTCTATACAAAATAAATAATAATAAACTGTTATCACAGAGATATGTCACGCTTTTTTGTAATTTTGATTATGCAAATGTTGAAATTAAAATGGCAATACTTAACAATTAGGCTAATATTCAAAGTCAATGAACCATGACTGATGTACATGGCTAAACCATCTCCATGTAAATGAGATGCGCCAATGCTAATACAACTGCATACCAAATATCATTGACTTATTATAAGTTGTTCCCTTTAAACAAACCTAAACACAAACATTAACTTGTAAACTATGTAAAAGTTTCAAAGTCAATGAACCATGAAGAGGGGGTGGAGCTATATAATCTCCATGGAAACGATACTTACAAATGCCAATAAATTTGCATACCAAATATCATTGACTTAACATTAGCAGTTCATCTTAAACTGATCTTATCACAAACTAATACATGTAAACTAAGCAAAAGTTTCAAAGTCAATAGGCCATGACTGAGGGGATGGGGCCAAATATTCTCCATTGAAATGAGATGTGCTAATGCTTATACAACTGAATACCAATTAACATTGGCCCACCACTAATGGTTCCCCTTGAACTGTTGAACTGACCTAATCACAAACTAATACATGTTAACTAAGCAAAATTTTCAAAGTCAATAGACCATGACTAAGGGGGCTGAGCCAAATAATCTCCATGGAAATGAGATGTGCCAATGCTAATACAACTGTATACCAAATATCATTGACCTACCACTAATGGTTCCCCATAAACTGACCTAATCACAAACTAATACATGTAAAATAAGCAAAAGTTTCGAAGTCAATAGACCATGACTGAGGGGGCAGGGCCAAATAATGTCCATGGAAATGAGATGTGCCAATGCTAATACAACTGTATACCAAATATGATTGACCTACAACTTGTGATTCACCACAAACTAGACCTAATCACAAACTAATACATTGTTGATGCCGCCGCCTCCGGAAACAGCATAGGTCTATGTCTCGCTTAATGACTCCGTCAAAAATTACAAAAAATATTTACATCTTTTCTGCCTGTGATTGTCACAATGTACAATATTTGTCTTGCTCAGGATTACAATCTAACCATATTGTGTCAATAAATCTGTTTATAAAACTTAACAAGAATTGATATCATAAATAGACCATGCAGTTTTACCATACCATGCATACGAACCTGCATGCTAGGAGTGATAAATCTTGCCGCAGTTTACCAGATCATATGACTGGCATGGATCAAAACATTGGGGCTATTAGTTTTAGCAAGTTTTGTTTTAATCACTAAAGACAGACCAGTATTCATTTTCAGATATAATCAGCTGAGGGAGACAGATTTATACAAGGGCAGTCATATTTCCAACAAACTGTTTATATTTCGGTACATCATACAGTTAGTTACGTTCAAATCAGACCAATTTACTCAGCTCAAATATGAAATGAAACTGGATGACGGCATATGATTCAATATTATAACATTTACAAGTGCAATTTGTAATTCTAAAACATCTTTATTTAAAAAAAGATCCTAAATTGAAATTTGAGCACTTTCTGTCTGTATGTCTTATCTTAATAAGAATCTAACCAAATGTACATTATGGAACATGGTTTCACAGGGGACCTCTTCCTATATGAATAAACAAAAATCGGGGATGGAGGGCACTTCAATCCATTTGTGTTCGGGATGAACAGCTTAGACTTTTTTAAATACCCCATCCTTTTCATATATTTTGAATAACAAAAATACATAGCCTATCCTATATTTTTTTAACAAAACAATACCTATAGGTATCATGATCACACCATTTCATTGATAGATAAATAGATTTGACAAATATCTGATACATTTTCCCGTTGATGAAGGCTGTACGGTTGTGCCTATAATAGCTTACTTCCACTTCATTTGAACTCTGGTGGATAGTTGTCTAATTGGCAATCATACTACATCTCCTTACTTTTATATTAAAGAACTCTGTTGTCCAGTTATAAACCTACACAGCAGAAATATATTTAAGTCAGCATCTTTAGATAAAGTAATTATCATCATTATAATACTACACATATATCTATATACAAAGCTTTATATACGCACCAATTTGTATATGCGACAACTGAGCAATGTATGAATGGGTAATTACTTTGACATGAAATATACAAAACAATCTGGGTTTTCACAAAATTTCATATAAATGTAGAGTTTTTTTTAAATCAAAGCTGTATGTCTGTACCAAAAATCTTATGTTGAAACCTCCAGTGCATGGTTTTCAGCAGTATCTTTTATGTTTCTTACTAGAAAGTCCTTTTCAACTTTCTGAACTGAGCTATGATTTACTTCAAACAATTTTCCTTGGTAGCAAGTAATTTGCTTTCAAAGCAATGCAAATAAGTAGAAATAAAATTAAATATCAGTTTGTAGCAAATAATGTCAGCTTTATAATAGTAAGTTCAGCCTTAACTGGAAATATGTGCTTTCTTTAACCAGCACATATGGTATGGAACCAGTGATTCTTCAAATAATATGCTCATAAGAACCTCAATCGATATGTCATTTTGATATTAACTTTTACCTGTATTGCAATCTATATGTTCAGTCATATTAGCATTTTGTATCTTTTGTATACCTGACAATTTTTGTTATTTTACAGTTTCAACCTACCTATCATTGTTTTCAAGATAATTTGAAAAATTATTAAAATAAGTCAACAAATTGTTTTGGGAGCAAAAACTCCTATAAGAACCCAAAGCAAAATTGCTGATAACTTCTGCTGTGTACAGTTTTTATCTACTAGTATATTTTTATGTAGTTCTCAAGAAAAAAGCGGTAAAAAAATAACAGAAATTTATCATTTAAGGAACACAACTCTTTAAGGAGTCATCTAATAGTTTTGATCACTCAACTATTATGTAGATCCTATATTGCTGATCATTTTTGATGCCTACATTTTTTATCTATCTGTTATACTTCTTGAGATAATTGGCAAAAACATAAAAATGCCAAAAAATGGTCATGTAAGGACCATACCTCCTAAAGTAGTCTTCCAACTGTTTCAGTCATATTGGCAGTTTTTTAGATCTTGTATTGTTGATTATTTTTTACTGTAACAGTTTATACTTATCTAATATTTTTTAAGTTAACAAGCAAAAACATAAAATTAGTAAAAAATTGTCATCTAAGGGTGACAACTCCTTAAGAGGTCATCTGATACATTTGGTGCAACAAGGAAGAAGTTAAATAATGACTTACTCATCATTTTTGCCCCTGTAGGTTTTCTGTATCTATTTTAGTTTTCAAGATATAAGGCAATTAATGCATTTTACCCTTACGTTTTATTTTTAGCCATGGCAGCCATGTTTTTTGACTGACTGGGAAGAAGCATTCTCCTCAAGTTTTGTTGAAATTAGTTCACTAGTTTTAGAGGAGAAGATCTTTGAAAAAGTTTATAACAAGGATGGAGGACTACGATGCACTATGACAGACGAAGACAACAACAGACATCAACTGATGATGACAATGACAGACAAGTGATGGCCCTATTTAGTTATAAATTAATAATTTCCATCAAAGTGTATTGTACAGGTTTTGGAAATAACTTTCTGGTAGGACTAAGGAAAATCATTTAAGTTAACCTTCATGTATATGATGCCTTATATACATGATAAAATACAGTAGTTGCAGAGGTATTTATTTATCAGAGATGAACCAGTTAATGTCTTTAGGAATACTTAACAATGACATTCAAAGTGTATTTTAAATAATTTATTGAATATTCTATACACTTGTACAATTTGCCATTTACAATGACATCTAAACCCAATTGCAGTAATACATAATGAATAAATTAATACATAACAAAGGCTTTAAGGTAAACTAGACAGTCAAAGGCTTATATATTTAATACATACATTGTAATATTTAATATCAAACAACCAATCAAAATCATAAATGATAAAAATTCTTCATGTTACTACAGTTATTGGTTTTCTTTTATCAAATCTGTTGTATCAACATAAAAAGAATACTTGGGGAAAGATTCTTGCTGCATACCAAGAAAACGGAGTATTTAAAAACTGAATTATTCTTGAGACAGAATTCATCTCTGTAAATTTTGTTTGACCTTTAAGTAAATACAACCATAGGTCCTTTGATATAACATTAAATGAATGGACTTAGGGGACATACACAATAATAGGCCAGCATTGTAAAAAATACATATACTCTGACAAAAACCTTAAATTTTTTATCCAATTTACCAGTATTTCATAAATATTAGGTTGTCATTTACAAAACATGAAAGACTCACATTTGTATTATGCTTTTTGTTATATATCTCAAGCCCGTAAATTGTGAACAGGTCATGATGATGTCAGATTATCACAAAGGGTAAATGTAGGGAACTGCTATCATGGTATCTACCAATTAGTTGCTGTACTCATTTACTATTGAAGCAATGCTGAATTGTTTACAGACACCAAAATTACAAGTTTTTGATTGTTGAATCAAAATTTTACTGGTTCAATCTGAAGATTCAGTTCAGAGAGAAAATGTTTGCTGAATTTTTCCATAGAATTTTATTGTCAAACTTTACGGTTATCTCTGACAGCAGCCATCTTTGATTACTTATTGATATCAAAATAACAAATTCTAAGATGAACAATATTTGCCATCTTTCTATATCTAATAATCTTAAAGTTGTTTCAGTTTTTAATATATTTACTAAATAAATGGGGAATGTGTCCATGGGACACAGATGATGCCCCCACTTGCATATAACGTTATAAAGGGACATAACTCAATAACTGTAAAAATGACGCTACCCAAATTTGTACATGATCTGAGTTTTGTGGTAATAAGCATTGTTTATAAGTTTCATAACATTTAGTTGAGGCAAATTTAAGTTAGAGAACAGAAATGAAAAATTCAGCAATTTTTGCATTTGTAAAGGGGCATAACTCTAGAACTGTATAAGTGACGCCACCAAAATTCAAACTTGATCTGTGTTTTGTAGCAATAAGCATTGTGTATAAGTTTCATAACATTTGGTTGAGGCAAACTAAAGTTAGAGAAAGGAAACCAATTTTGGGACATACAGACATACAGAAGGACAAGGGTAAAACTTAATGCCCCTCCGCTACGGCGGGGGCATAAAAATATGTTTAATGATGGGTGTCATCTATTTGCAGTGTTTTTTTATTTCCAATAAAAAATTGAAACTCTATAGTCAACATTCATAATTTTCTTACATTTACTAAAATGCTGAATTCTAAGACTTTTCATCCTCCTTGAAATGGTATACTGAGTAGGAAATTCCTAGTAGGTACTAACTAAAGCTCAACTTGTTATGAAAGGGTCATGTTCAACACTTTACTAATAAGACTTCAGTTTCAGTTAATGAAGGAATGATTTATTAGTGATTTTCAAACGAATGACTTTACTAACATAATAGCACTTACATGGTTTATATTCTGATAAAGGGATATAACTCTAATTGAATAAATATCAAGTCATTCATACATTTGTTAAATCTTTAAGTAAAGTAATGCAATGTTTCATTTGAAATTTTTATTAAGCAGTTCTAAATCAAGCACCTAAACTCCCATTAATGTTTGTGTTCTTTCATACATCACATAATAACACATGAAAAGATTATCTCAAGTTTGCCCAAATCACATCATTAACATGTGTAGGTACATTCATTCCAACCACAGCAATGTAATGCAATGTATTTTCTACCATGAAAAAGTTAGAAATTTGTGTAATGAATAAAAACAAATGCTCACAGATGCAACAGATATATATTACTATTAAGGATGATAATTCACCTTTCCACATGTCATGTACATAAACCAAACAACTACAATGAAAGCTATAATGCCACTATTTAAAAGGTTGGATTTTATCTTAACATTTACAATATTCCTTTTCTAAAATAGATTACAATTGTTTATTGCATTCCAAATACCAAATATTTTTTAAATCATAGAAGTAATCAATAAGCATTTTACCTGCAACTCATTCAAGTTTGATTTGTTTGTCTACTTCAGTTAATTGGAAGACAATTGAGAATAAATCCTTCAAATTAAATGTTTACAATACATATGTAAATCGCATTAAAAGAGTGTACATTGAAAAACAGAATTTTATCATTTTTCCCTTTTTAAAAGAAATAGTATGTTCATGATTTTTTTTTCATTTTGGTTTTTCATTGACAACTGAAACTGATTTCAGTAATCCTAAATATATCTTTTGACTAGTGTCATCATAAGCCCAAAAATAGCTTTTAAAAAGCCTTTAAAGTAAAAGACAAAAAGGAAAATTAAAATATGAACCCTGTAACAAGAAAAGTTAAAATACATTCTATTTATGATACAAATGAAGTAGGAAGCCTTTCTTTATACATGAATGCTAGTTGTCTTGAAGCCATACACAGAGATTCTCTCCGACTGATGCCAGTCAATGCATTCTGCCAATCACTATGTCCAATATGAGGGTTTGTTTCTTCTATAACTTGACCAATAGACTTCGCCAGTCCTGACCATCGTAACGGATAATCTGATGCTGTTGAGTCTTGCGCTTTTAGTATATATTCTGCAGGTACAGGCGTAGGTTGTGAGAATGTCTGAAGTTCTACTCTATGTGATGGGTCCCGAAGAATTAAACACGTCATTTCAAACCATCTGAAACAAATAATTCAATTTAGAATGAAGAATATTATATATCAGCAAAGACTTATTTCTATCAATTAGCTGTAGCACAATATTTACCAATTAACTAAAGATATATAACATTTCCTTATGAGAGTACAATGCAGAGTAAAGGATTGAATTTGAATATGAATTCTTCCAATTTTCTTTTTTTTTAACTAATAAATATCATTTATAAAAACTCAAATACAGATGAAAACATATACCATAAAGAATTTCTACAAGAAATGATATAATCATTAACAGAATAATGACAAATCTAGATGTCTTTTGGTTTTTTTCGTGTCATTGAATTATACCACACAGCTCCATATATTAATGTGTTAAATTCATTATCTAATATAGAATAATCACAAGTACTTTCATTAAACTAATCTTGTTATTTTCAAAAAAAAATATGTTTTTGCCATTAATTAAAACAAATAATAAGAAAAAGTTCCCTACATGATTTTATTACATACATGTATATTGTGTAACAAATTTTGACTTGAAATGAGAACCCTATAATACTTTAAAGAACATCTTAAAATAATTAACACTTATAATACATAATATTCTGTAAATTATACCAGATTTTCACAAAGACTCTAATCTTAAAATAATTTAATATAATAAAGTCTTGTGTTCACTTGATCAAGTTTCTCTCCATTAAAGAAAATATGATTTATCATGGAAATAGTGTGTTAATTTGGTTTCTTTTAAGAATTCTAAATGATATCCATATGGTTTTAAATCTTAAGAGTACACACATAGGCCTAATTTAGCAGTTTCTAAATAGAACAATGAAATAGATATACATATAGACGGTGACTGTACTCATAATTCAGATAGAAACCATTTGCAAGTTTTAATAATTTCGGTGTTTCATTTATATTCATGACAAAGAAGCATATTGGAAATTTGAATAATTATGAACCTGTTTGTGTTATTTTTTTTTCAAATAGAAATTTAGATTTATAGGAGACAACAGATATGGCATCCTTTTCGTTTTTTTTATCATTTTCTAAAAGGTAAATGTACTACACAAAAGTGGTCAAAATAATGAGATTATAATGTACAAACAAAACTGGTATATTGTTTTAACAAGAGGCTCTCAAGAGCCTGAATCGCTCACATGTTATTTTTTTTGCTTAAATCTTTCATCAATGATTATTTTTGCTTTTTACCCATATGTTCCATTTTAGCCATAGTGTCTATGTTTCTTGACGTACAAGGAAATGAAATACAAAATTTATACTAGATTCATTTGAGAAGATTTTTAAAGTTAAAAAACATAAAACAACTTGTGTAAAATTGTCCTTAAAGGGCAATAACTCCTTAAGGGGTCAGTTGACAATTTTGGTCATATAAAACTTTTTTGTAGATCTTACTTTGCTGAACATTTTTGCTGTTTACAGTTTATCTTTATCTTCAATAATATTCAAGATAATAACCAAAAACTGCAAAATTTCCTTAAAACAACCAATTTAGTGGCAGCAACCCAACAATGGGTTGTTCGGTGTGTCTGAAAATTTCAGGGCTGATAGATCTTGACCTTTTGAACATTTTTCTCAGGTCAGATTTGCTCTAAATGCTTTAGTTTCTGAGATATAAGCCAAAAACTGCTTTTCACCCCTATGTTCTATTTTTAGCCATGGCGGCCATGTTTGTTGATGGATCAAAATTTCGGATACAATTCATAAACTAGATTCCTAAAGGACCATTCATTCAAAGTTAAGAAGTATTAGGCACAATAGTTTCAGAAGAGAAGATTTTTAAATGTTAGCAAACTTGATGAACACATTGCGTAAAATTGTCTTTAAAGGGCAATAACTCCTTAAGGGGTCAATTGACAAATTTGGTCATTTAATTTTTCTGTAGATCTTACTTTGCTGAACATTATTGCTGTTTACAGTTTATATCTATCTATAATAATATTCAAGATAATAACAAAAAACTGCAAAATTTCCTCAAAACTACCAATTTAGTGGAAGCAACCCAACAATGGGATGTTCGATTTGTCTGAAAATTTCAGGGTTGATAGATCTTGACCAATTGAACTATTTTACCCATGTCAGATTTGCTCTAAAAGCTTTAGTTTTGGAGATATAAGCCAAAAACTGCATTTGACCCCTATGTTCTATTTTTAGCCATGGTGGCCATGTTTGTCGATGGATTAAAACTTCGGATATACTTTTTAAACTAGATATCCTAAGGAACATTTAGATGAAGTTTGAAGGTATTTGTCCCAGTAGTTTCAGAGGAGAAGATTTTTAAATGTTGGCAAACTTGATGAACAAATTGTGTAAAATTGTCTTTTAAGGGGAATAACTCCTTAAGGGGTCAATTGACAATTTTGATCACGCAAAACTTTTTTGTAGATCTTTCTTTGCTGAACATTATTGCTGTTTACAGTTTATATCTATCTATAATAATATTCAAGATAACAAAAAACTGCAAAATTTCCTTAAAACTACCAATTTAGTGGCAGCAACCCAACAATGAGTTGTTCGATTCGTCTGAAAATTTCAGGGCTGATAGATCTTGACCAATTGAACAATTTTACCCCATGTCAGATTTGCTCTTAAAGCTTTAGTTTTTTGAGATATAAGCAAAAAACTGCATTTGACCCCTATGTTCTATTTTTAGCCATGGTGGCCATGTTTGTCGATGGATTAAAACTTCGGATACAATTTATAAACTAGATATCCTAAGGAACATTTAATTAAAGTTTGAAGGTATTTGTCCCAGTAGTTTCAGAGGAGAAGATTTTTGAAATAGTTTACGACGACAACGACAGACGACGACAAATGACAAAGACAGACAACGACGAGAGACAACGGACGACGACGGACGCCAAGTGATTGGATAAGCTCACATGGGGCCCTTCGGGCCCGGTGAGCTAAAAATGGTACATGATCCTTAAATCTATACGAACATATAATAAATACATCGTAAACCATAATATGGAAATTTACCTGTCAGGAAGTGTTTCTATAATGAATCCTTCTAATGAAACCACAGGAATATCTTCTGAAATTGTTCCTTGTTGTCTGAGATTCTGAATCCTCTCTTCTGCACCTTTCAGACCTGCAGTAAACCCAACAGGTTGTGCTGCTGTTGTTGCTTGACTATCCTGTAATTATAAATCAAATTGTTAGTTTGGAGAAAATCTCTTGCATCATTCACAAATTGGTTATCTCCCATATCTAATAAACTTTGGCACAATTTACAAATTGATTATCTTCCATATTTAATAAACTTTGGCACCATTTACAAATTGGTTATCTCCATATTGAACAGTGAGTTATTCTGATTTTTCTATTGTATATATTTGAAGTTTCAAAGTAATCACTGTTGTTGGTTGAAAAAAAGATGATTGCCTAGGTATAGAGGAATTCTAACTTTAAAGAGAACTTGCATGTAAAATAGCAAATTCATCCTATTGTAGTTGAAAGCAAGGGTTGCGGAAAATGTATATAGTTGTTGTGTCATTATGCAATATTTCTATTGTAACCATATTAAAATATTTTTCCCTATTGAGTGTTTTTCTCATAAATAATTATTATAAAAATAAAAGAACAGAATTCCAATTTCCCTCACGTTGCACATATTTTATCTATCCAATTCAAGGGCAATAAATAAAATAAAATGCTTTGCTGAGCGCAGCCTGATACGACTGCAGAGGTCGAAACCTGAACAGCTGGGGCAAATTTGGACACAATATTCAAGCTTGATACTGTCTGAATTTGGATTGTGATCAAATTTTTGACATAATATAGGTTTCTAACACAAAATAAATGTGGTCAAAGATCTTATAAATCCATTGCGCAATACTGTGCAATTGAAGATTTCTTCATGAAACTTTTCAAAAAATTCGAAATTTTAAAAATTTTGAAAAAAAATATAAATCCCTTAAAAATATTGGGAAAAAAATTGCCCCCACCCCCCCCCCCCAAACTTTTTGAAACCCCTCTTGGAGCAATAACCCAAAAACTCAATCCCAGCCTTTCCTTTGTAGTATGGAACCTTGTAGTACAATTTCAGAGAGATCCATACACTTACACACAAGTTATTGTCTGGAAACAAAAATGCTTGTTTTTTGGCCCCTAATTCCTACATGTTTGGGGCAATTAACGCCAAACTCAATCCAAGCCTTCCATTTGTTATGTGGAACATTGTGGTACAATGTCAGAGAGATCCATACACTTACACACAAGTTATTGTCTGGAAACTAGAAAAATGCTTGTTTTTGGCCACTTTTTGGCCTTTAATTCCTAAACTGTCGGCCCCCATAACCCCTAAAATAAATCCCGACCTTCTACTTGTGGTATTAAACATTGTGGTACAATTTCAGAGCAATCGAAATACTTATACACAAGTTATTATCATGAAACTAGAAAAATGCTTGTTTTGGGCCCCTTTTTGGCCCCTAATTCCTTAACTGTTGATACCATAACCCCCAAAATCAATCCCAATCTTCCTTTTGTGGTATTGAACCTTCTTAAAAAATTTCATAGAGATCCATTCACTAAAACTAAAGTTATTGTCCGGAAACCAATGCGGTCGTATAAAAAGCACTTTTTTTTTGTTCTTTAAAACTTTTTATTAATATCTGAAGAGAAATGAAGGCTGAAGATCAAATGCAATGTGATTTCCATTATAATTTATATTTCCAAGGGGCATAACTCGTTAAAAATATTTGATCATCAGAACTTATTTTCGAAAGTGCCAAAGACATTGCTGATATAAACCTATGACATAAGTTTCATAACATTTTGGCAAGAATTGAACACATGAGAGCAATAACATTGCAATCTTCCATATAATCAATATTTTCAAGGGGCATAACTCTTTTCTAAATAATTGATCAGCACTGATTTTTGAACTCCTCAAAGACATTGATGATATAAACCTATAATATAAATTTCATAAAAATCTGGCAAGAATTGTACACATTAGAGAGCTCATTAGGCAATTTTCCATATAATTAATATTTCCAAGGGGCATAACTCTTTTAATCAAAGCACGAAAGCGCTGTAAAGGCAGTTAATTACAGGTTGTGTGTATTTTAAGTCCAGTTATATCATTATCTTGCATAGTACAGTGTACTTATCAGAGGTGGCTTTCAGTATTTAAGATTTAGAGTTCTCTAATGATATTGAATAAGTTTTATGAATGTCATATTCTGAGCACTATATGAAGGCGATTGTTCTCACTTGTTTATGAACTAGTGCATTATGTCCAGTTTGTACCTTTTTTATCTATGTTTATAGTCAAATTAGTTATCAAAGGTACCAGGATTATAATTTAAAACGCCAGACGTGTGTTTCGTCTACATAAGACTCATCAGTGACGTTCAGATCAAAATAGTAACAAAGCCAAACAAGTACAAAGTTGAAGAGCATTGAGGACCCAAAATTCCAAAAAATTGTGCCAAATACGGCTAAGGTAATCTATTCCTTGGATAAGAAAATCCTTAGTTTTTTCATTGGCAATCATAACACATCTCCTTATTTATATAATGATCTATATTCAACGACCTCAGGTACAAAAAAAATGTATGTAACTAAACTATGATGGGAAACCTTTGACTTCTTTCTTTATATAAACTTTTGATTTGGTACCATAGAACTATGTAGAGTAAATGTACATTGCAACATGTCAACTCTTTCAACTCCAAGCAAAATTATATTTCCAAGCATAAAGTAATTTATGAATGAAATAAAATGCTCCGCTGGGGCGCAGCTTGATACGACCGCAGAGGTCGAACCCTGAACAGTTGGGGCAAGTATGAACACAACATTCAAGCTTGATTCAGCACTGAATTTGGATTGTAATTAAATATTTGACACAGCATAGGTTTCTGTCACAGAATGAAAGTGGTCTAAGATACTTAAAAAAATTTAATTTACCTATTCAAACCATATCATTATTATTTGCTTTTATATATAAATCAGAAATAACCAATTTAAAATGGAAAATTTTAAAGAAAAAAAAGGAAAAAGAATCCCCCCCCCAAATTTTTTGAACCCCCTTATGATTCATCACCCCCAAACTCAATCCCAGCCTTCCCTATGTGGTATGGTACCTTGCAGTACAATTTCAGAGAGATCCATACACTTGAACACATGTTATTGTCTGGAAACTAGAAAAATGCTTGTTTTTTGGCCCCTTTTTGGTCCCAAATTCCTAAACGTTTAGGGCAATTACCCCCAAACTCAAACCCAGCTTTCCCTTTGTGATATGGAACCTTGTAGTACAATTTCATAAAGATCCATACACTTACACACAAGTTATTGCCATGAAACTAGATAAATGCTTGTTTTTTGCCCCTTTTTGGCCCCTAATTCCTAAAATTTGGAGGCAATTACCCCCAAAATCAATCCCAGCATTCCCTTTGTGATATGGAACCATGTGATACAATGTCAGAGAGATCCATAGACTAACACACAAGTTATTGTCATGAAACTAGAAAAATGCTTGTTTTTTGCCCCTTTTTGGCCCCTAATTCCTAAAATTTGGAGGCAATTACCCCCAAAATCAATCCCAGTATTCCCTTTGTGGTATGGTACCTTGCAGTACAATTTCAGAGAAATCCATACACTTGAACACAAGTTATTGTCTGGAAACTAGAAAAATGCTTATTTTTGGCCCCTTATTCCTAAACTTTTTGGGCAATTACCCCCAAACTCAATTCCAGCTTTCCCTTTGTGATATGAAACCTTGTAGTACAATTTCATAAAGATCCATACACTTACACACAAGTTATTGCCATGAAACTAGAAAAATGCTTGTTTTTTGCCCCTTTTTGGCCCCTAATTCCTAAAATTTGGAGGCAATTACACCCAAATTCAATCCCAGCATTCCCTTTGTGATATGGAACCTTGTGATACAATGTCAGAGAGATCCATAGACTTGCACACAAGTTATTGTCATGAAACTAGAAAAATGCTTGTTTTTTGCCCCTTTTTGGCCCCTAATTCCTAAAATTTGGAGGCAATTACCCCCAAAAATCAAACCCAGCATTCCCTTTGTGATATGGAACCTTGTGGTACAATGTCAGAGAGATCCATACACTTACACACAAGTTATGTCTGGAAGTTACAAAAATGCTTATTTTTGGCCCCTTTTTGGCCCCTAATTCCTCAACTGTTGGTACCATAACCCCCAAAATCAATCCCCACTTTCCTTTTGTGGTATTGAACCTTATTTTAAAATTTCATTGAGATCCATTCACTTAAACTAAAGTTAGAGTGCGAAAACTAATGTGTCTTCGGACGACGACGACAACGATGACGACGCCAACGTCATACCAATATACGACCACAAAAATTTTTTTGCGGTTGTATAAAAAGGAGTTCTTAATTAAGAAATAAACTGATTCGCTGAGCGCAGCTGGATACACCCGCAGAGGTACTACCCTGAACAGCTGGGCAAAAATGGACACAATATTCAAGCTTGATACAGGTCTGAATTTGGATTGTAATTAAATATTTGACATATTATAGTTTCTGAATAAATGTAGTCAATGAACTTGAAATCGGTTATATGAATTGAATTTATATTCAATTAAAGATTTCTTGCTGTTGTGCAATACACTGTGCTGTTGTGCAATACTTAATAAATCTGTTGCCAGACTATAAACAAATAAAGTTCAATTTCTTCTCAATGTCATATTTGAAATTTATGAAAATCAATAGGGAGATTACATCAATAGCTATAAATAATTCACCAAAGTTTCATGTGAACTGCTTAAAGCATTTTTGAGTTGTTGTCCAAAAACTGGAAAATCCCCCCTTTTTTAATGAATAAAACCCCATAACTCAGAAATGTAAAATCTAAAATTTATAAAATTCTAAAGGGAGCTTACGGAATGATAATTTAGTCTTAGATGCAAGATTTTTTTATCAGTTGTTAGTGGCTTTGAACTAGCTGTCAGTAACTGCGAGTACTCTCAGATTTGTACTTAGTGTCTTTTTGTTGTTTGGATGTACAACTACCCGACCACGTCCACTTGTATTTGTATTTATCCATCTGATGAGTTTAGCCTCTTTCAACTGATTTTTATAGTTCTTTCTTATATTGTACTGTTACACCACTGTCCCAGGTTAGGGGGAGGGTTGGGATCCCGCTAACATGTTTAAGCCCGCCACATTCTGTATGTACATGTATGTGCCTGTCCCAAGTCAGGAGCCTATAAAAGTGTAATTCAGTGGTTGTCGTTTGTTTATGTGTTGCATATTTGTTATATTTGTTCATTTTTTTACATAAAATAGGCCGTTAGTTTTCTTGTTTGAATTGTTTTACATTGTCATTTCTGGGCCTTTTAAAGCTGACTGTGCGGTACGGGCTTTGCTCATTGTTGAAGGCCGTACTGTGACCTACAGCTGTTAATTTCTGTGTCATTTGGTCTCTTGTGCATGTGTGGAGAGTTGTCTCATTGGCAATCATACCACATCTTCTTTTTTATATTTACATCAACAGATATAAAAAATTCACCAAAGTCAAGGTGAGACAACAAAACTTAGTTGTAAGATCTCTGAAATTTTTTACAGGGTACGAGTTTTTCTCATTGTTGGAGATTGTACGGTGACAGTAACACCTGTAACTGCTTAAACCCATTTCTTATGCACTTTAGTTTGATAAACTCACTGAATATCATACCACATCTCCTTATTTTTATATGCATTACAATTTACATGTGCATATAATTGTAAATATATATATATCAGAACAAAATTCATTGCGTCACTTTTATTTATGCATCCTTTGGCACAATACAAGTTCTAAAATTACACAACATAAAACAACTAAATGTTATTTCAGATGAAAGTTTTGTTTCAGTTCCATTCATAGGATTTATTAGAATTTTGTATGTTTTGCCAAGTCCAATAATTCGCTCTATGTGACATAGAGACATAGTTGACTAAACCACCAGGTGTCGAACATTCAAGAATTTTCAGTGTTTCTGTTTTTATTTGATGAAAAGGTTGCCTGAGCTCTAGGAGCTTTAGGTTTTATCACGGGATATTCTGTGCTGTCAATAATAATCCAAGTCGTAGGAAACTTTAATTTGAAGTTGGATGGTGAAAAATACCTGACTATACCACTAGATGGCCAAGTGTTAGCCTCACACCACTGTTTAGACATAAAAACAATCCATGTATACACAATATTCTTAACACTAGATTCAATCTAGAATCTAGACAGTTCAAAGTTGGTTGTATGATGCCTCAATTTCATCAAAGTCATAAAAAAACTGATTTTCAACTGACACCCTATCAATTTGAAAATATATGTATCTCAAACAATGTGCTGCTGGACCAAGTGTGGTCAAAACAAATAAAAATTTAGTATACAACTCTAAACCGGTATAAAAATGCATGGCTGTGTCACGTGTCTTCATTTCAAAATTCTCTGCTGAAAACATAGGCATTGATGGTGTTTGCGTAATTCCATCTGTGAAGCTCAACATTAGCTCGGCAGTTGGTGGTGGACAGCCATAAATCCTTTCTGCAGTATGAATGACTTCTTCAGGAAAACCAACTTTACAATCAAAACTTTCCTCTAGATTTCTACTACAATATTCATCAAGTTTAGTTCTTTTGTTTTCACAGGAAACTGCCCTGATTTTTCTTTTTGCGGACGATTCAGTCTCTTGCTTGGTCCAGGAAAATAGGCTGGGAATTGCAGTAGACTTAAGTCTCTGTATGGTGGGTTTGCGCCCTGAAAAAGGTTATAAAACATTAGTTTTTTTATAATTAAATGAACTTCCATTAGCAATGTATACTTTGTACTACCTGGCGAAATATTAACTAGATTTATTCATTACAATCTGGATAAAACTTATGTTTGCCTGATTCAATGTATGTTATGTAAATCCAAAGGACAAACAATGAGAGACTTATGCAACAAACGTACATTGTTTGTACCTAAATAACTATAATATAGATGAGAGCATGTCATTGTTTTGTTCCTGTTAACATTGTCATTGATATTTTTCAAGAAAGTCTATGAGGCATAGCTTATGCATTCCTGTCATTACTACATTAGCATAATTACTGCTAAAATAATTCTCAGTATGATATACCTCTTGTAAGAAATCATTATAATTGTAGCAATCACCAAAAAATCTCAAACAGATCACATTGAATCGTAATCCAAAAAATTATGACGTCTTGAATTACCCACCCCCTTTTATTCTAAAACGATAATTGCGGTTGTAAACAGACTTTGGTTTATTCGCATGGCGATTACATATATAACTATATATTTCACAAAGAAAATAGAGTTTTACCATGAATAGTTTCCTGCACGTAGACTTTTTCAGTAAAACGTGCCTTGCAAACAACAGCTGATTGAGATGGACTCCACGATATCATCGTGTTCTCGTCCAATCTGCGTATGGGCCATGGCGTTGATCCAACTTTTCCTTCTTTTTAAGTCATTTGGAAATTGCATGTCCTCCTCTTAAATGACATCCCGGTACACAACAACAAGTACTTGGCATCGTTAATTAAAAATATAACTGAAATAGTTGCACAGTGCAGAAACCGGAAGTAGAGGAACAGGATCCGCTACCACGGCGCCACCTATTCAGGAACGATAATTTGCTACTTTATATAACTGCGAAAATAACGTTAGGTTCACATGCATAAACAGAATTGCGCTTTAAATTGTATAATATAATTCATGTTCAGTCGACCTTTAAATATTATATCAACGACTGAAATGATTTATAAACATCTAGATTGCAGATAACACTCGAAATTAACCCGAGCTCTTTCCACACGGAATTCAAATAATTCTAGTTTGTCAATCGGTTGACTGCTTATAATGCAAAATACTAATATATCAAAAGTTTTTAAAACTAACAAAACACAATGATCGTTTCTCTATTTCCCAATGTAAATGAAATGAAACAAAAAACATTTTATATCGCAATAAGAAGAGGAGAGAATTCAACATTTCCGGATCTACTTGGAGTCTAATGACCCCCCACGTAGATAAGTTGGATATCGCGGAAGGAAGGATTAACCCGGCAACTAGAAAGGCATTAAAGCACTGCCTTTAAAAATTATTGATTGGCACTGATTTTCAAATCCGTCCAAGACATTGCTAATACAAATCTATGATTTAAGTTTCATAAAATTCTGGCAAGAATTGTACACGTGAGAGCACTAACAAGACCGGACGGACGGACGGACGGGCGCCCGGTATTTCCATGTCCCCTTCAATGCGTTACGCAGGGGACAATAATGAGATGTGGTATGATTGCCAATAAGACAACTATCCATCAAAGTTCAAATAAAGTGGATGTAAGCAATTATAGGCAACTGTACGGCCTTCAACAATGATAAAAACCAAAGCTCATCCAATCAATTTTAAAACTAACCACCCCTGAAACTGTGGCTCTCCCAAAAACATGCTGAAATGCTTCCCTAACAGCTCCAACTTTGTTTTCATTGGATGATGTAACTACTATATCTATATCTCCACCAGATTCTAAAAATAGAAAAACTCCATTAAACATTTGAAATACCCTTTTAATTACTTATTTAAAAACATTACGAAAAAGTTACAAAAAATAACAAAGAGCTTTTTTGTCTATCCTCTGCTCTGATGATTAAATTTTGCAAATTTAAGTAATGCATGTCAGCGTGTTTGTTGCTTTAATGGAAATAATAAAATATATTTTAATCAGTCAATACAGCCAATATAACTGTGTTTCCTACCTCCCAACCTATCCTTAATTTCCTTCCCTACCCTTATAGACATTTTTGGTTAAGTACCATTAAAGATCACACCACTTTTCCGTCTATGCAAATCTAGAGGGGGTACAAAATATTCAGGTAAAATTGAAAATATAAGAACTATAAAATATCACTGTATATATTTTAATATATATACGGTGGATTCATTTATTTTCATGGATACCAATTTTTGTGGATAGAGCAAAATACCTCTTTCTGTGGATAGTTGATTTTATGGTTTTCTCAAAGTTTGCATACAACTTTTACAAGATTAATAGTTCGTTGAACACTCAATTTTGTTGTTTAATTAAACCCACGAAATCCACAAAAAATTGGTATCCCTGGAATAATGAATCCACAGTAGATCATAAATTAAAGTTTATAGATGAATAAGAATTTGTAGTTTTTCCTAATGTACATCTATCCATATAAACCAAGTTTGACTAATTTTTAGTTTGAAAATTCAAAAAATAATTTAAACACAACTAAGCATATGTAACATAAACATGATTACTAAGCGTATGTAACATAAACATGATAACTAAGTGTATGTAACATAAACATGACAACTAAGCGTATGTAACATAAACATGATAACTAAGCGTATGTAACATAAACATGATAACTAAGCATATGTAACATAAACATGATAAATAAAAATCTACAGCAAAATGCTGCAAATTTTTACAATTTTAACATAATAACTTACTGATAATTTCTCTCATCCCAGGGTCCAATGTTGTGATCATTGTTTCCATTGAGCTCTAAAAATAAGAAAAAAGTATAGCAGATATCTGACTATATACTCTAGGCCTCTGTAGAAATAAATGGGGAATGTGTCCATGGGACACAGATGCCCCCGCTTGCATATCATATAACGTTATAAAGGGACATAACTGAAGAACGGTACAAGTGAACCTACCCAAATTTGTACTTGATCTGAGTTATGTGGTAATAAGTATTGTGTATAAGTTTCATAACATTTGGTTGAGACAAACTTAAGTAAGAGAACGGAAACGAAAAATTCAGCAATTTTTCCTTTTGTAAAGGGGCATAACTCTAGAACGATTAAAAGTGACGCCACCAAAATTCAAACTTGACCTGTGTTTTGTGGTAATAAGCATTTTGTATAAGTTTCATAACATTTGGTTGAGGCAAACTAAAGTTACAGAATGGAAACCAACTTCGGGAGGTATGGACTTACGTACAGACGGACGGACGGACAGACGGACAAGGGTAAAACTAAATGCCCCTCTGCAAGGTGGGGGCATAAAAAATGTCTACATATGTAACTACATAAAATATATATCATTTGAATTTCACAAAACAAAGCTAAAGCTTTGAGCCATCAGAAATTTTTAAATATAAATTCTTATTATTAGTTTTGCCTTTTTTCCCCCCACTAATTTAGTGATGCATGAAAAGTAATTCCTTGGAAATGTACCACTTAATGTATTTTTCTGTGTGGTACTCCTATAATACCATTTATTTAAAAATTCAATGTGTCTTTTTGTGATTTTTTAGGGTGTAAAAGCATTGCCTGAAGCAATGAAGCGCAGAATCACTTCATAATAAAAATATGCACATGATAACATTTTTAAAACCCTATCAAATTACAAAAAGAAACATTCAATTCTTATAATTACATTTTTATGCTACAATGAAATACAATGTCATATAAAAATTTCCATTTGTTTGTTGTCATGGGAAGCATGTGCAGTTATGAATATTGTATTTTAATGGGAAATAAAATCTAATTTTGAAATGCCTCTTGATTGTTGTCAGCCATCCAAAAGCATGGATTCTTATGAAACATACATGTTTAATATGTGATTAGATCAGAATAAAATATATATCATGAAACCCAAAATACCAAAAATTTTGGTTTAAAACAACAGATCACACCAATCACCAACACCTGAATCCTCCAAAAAATAACTACAAACAAGCATTCTGTGAGAATTGCATGGCAATACATAGTCCCCTACCGGTTAAAAATTCATTGTATTGGAACAAAATTCTAACTAGATCTATAACTTGTCATGGTGTACAAACTATACAACAAATATCAAGTCAATATCTTCAAGCATGACGAAAAAAAAAGAGTTGAAAACTGATTATTTAAGTGAATTTTTTAAGTCCAAGGACCATAACTCTGCACAAAATCTTCAGACCAGAACAAAATTTGAACTTGATCTGTAACTTGTCATTATAAAACTAAATACTAATTATCAAATCAATATCTTCAAGAATGACAAAAACTAGAGGCTCTCAAGAGCCTGTGTCGCTCACCTGATTCTACTTTGGTTTTGGAAATCATGTAAAAATAGATTAAAATCATAACAGATACCCTTATAATGATTGGAGCCAAATCTGGTTCAATATTGGCCCCGTAATTTAATAAAAAATCCTGGTGGCCATCTTGAACAGTATATCGGCAACAAAGAAGCAAAACACTTCATGCACCTCATAGGAACATTTATGCCATGTTTGGTTTCATTCCATTTAGTGCTGCTCTAGAAGAAGCATTTGTATGTATTTCCCATAGGGTCTTATGTTAAACTAAGTCCCTTGCTGGAGTTTATCTTGGATGATGGTTCGGCTACAAAGTAACAACACTTGGTCAGCACCTCATTAGGAACATTTATGCCATGTTTGGTTTCATTCTATTCAGTGGTTCTCTAGAAGAAAACAATTGTATGTATTTCCCATAGGGTCCTATGTTAAACTTACTCCTCCTGCTGGCAGCCATCTTGGATGACAAATCAGCTACAAAGTAACAACACTTGTTCAGCACCTCTCAAGAAACATTCATACCATGTTTGGTTTCAATCCATTAAGCGGTTTTCTAGAAGAAGACATTTGTATATATTTTCCATAGGGTCCTTTGTTAAACTAAGTCCCGGTTGGCAGCCATCTTGGTTGATGGATTTGTTACAAAGTAACAACACTTGGTCTGCACCTCATAAGGAACATTTATGCCATGTTTTATTTCATTCCATTCAGTGGTTCTTCAAAAGAAGACTTTTGTGTGTATTTCACTTAGGGTCCTTTGTTAAACTAAGTTCCCCGCTGGCAGCCATCTTGGATGATTGATTGGCTACAAAGAAACAACACTTGGTCAGCACCTCATAAGGAACATTCAAGTCATGTTTGGTTTCATTCCATTCAGTGGTTCTCTAAAAGAAGACATTTGTATGTATTGTCCATACGGTCCTTTGTTAAACTAAGTTCCCGGCTGGCAGCCATCTTGGATAATTGATTGGCTACAAAATAACAACACTTAGCCAGCACCTCATTAGGAACATTTATGCCATGCTTGGTTTCATTCCATTCAGTGGTTCTCTAAAATAAGATATTTGTATGTATTTCCCTTAGGGTCCTATGTTAAACTAAGTCCCTCTCTTGCTGCCATCTTGGATGATGGATCGGATTCAAAGTAACAACACTTGGTCAGCACCTCATTAGGAACATTCATGCCATGTTTGGTTTTATTCCATTCAGTGGTTCTCTTAAAGAAGACATTTGTATGTATTTCCCATAGGGTCCTATGTTAAACTAAGTCCCTCTCTGGCGGCCATCTTGGATGAAGGATCGGCTTCAAAGTAACAACACTTGGTCAGCACATCATAAGGAACATTCATGCCATGTTTGGTTTTATTCCATTTACTGGTTCTCTAAAAGAAGACATTTGTATGTATTGTCCATAGGGACCTATGTTAAACAAAGTCCCCTGCTCGCGGCCATCTTGGATGATGGATCGGCTACAAAGTAACAACTTTGGTCAGCACCTCATAAGGAACATTCATGCCATGTTTGGTTTCATTCCATTCAGTGGTTCTCTAGAAGAAGTTTAAAATGTAAAAAGTTAATGATTACGATGACGGACGACGGACGCCAAGTGATGAGAAAAGCTCACTTGGCCCTTCGGGCCAGGTGAGCTAAAAAGTGCGGAAAACTGAGTATTTTAGTGAATTTACTAAGTTAAAGGACCATAACTCTGCACAAAATCATCAAACTGGAACAAAATTCGAACTTGATCTGTAACTTGTCATGATAAAACAATACATCAAATATCAAATCAATATCTTCAAGCATGAAGAAAAAAAGAGTGGAAAACTGATATGCCGGACTGACGGATGGACAGACGGACAGAGTGCAAACCTAAAGTCCCCTTCGACTTCGTCGGTAGGGGACTAATAACAACAAACAAAACATGCTCCAAATAGCCTGACTTAGTGCAGGTACTTACTGTGGTGGGGTGGAAGCAGTTTTAACCACACACAAACCTCCTCTTTCATGTTTTGTCTTTGCCTATCTAGACCATGTGTTGTGAAAGTAAAAAATGATCCTACACAGACCAGCTATCTACATCATGACCACTAACTTGAACAAGGAAAAAGAATAAGAAACATAATTTGGAAGCAATGTCAAAATGTGCTAGCTACTAAAGGAAGGTAGCTAAGCTAGCCACAGCTGTTGGATGTATAAGAAAAATTTGAAACTGGACACAGGAACAGGGCTGAGCACACATATCCACAAATAGATAGGACAATGATCCATTAACAACTTTCTAAATCTTATTATTATTTCTTCAATACATCTATTTATCACCATAAAATACCTTCACTTTGGACATGATTTTGTTTCCAGATATCCACCCAAACAGCCCTTTATCTTGACCTGCAGGACTCTGTGGTGATACAGGGATCATTTCTGCTGGTACTTCAATCTGTGCACTTGCTTCATAAGGAGACTGGATTGGAGCTGCAGATAAAATGTTCACCTTTTTTTTTAAATTTTGTTTTATCTGATAATGCACATCATAAGCTTAATATCAAAAGAACATTTGGAATATAAAACAGTATGTTTACATGTTTAATTGTTGTATATTTACAGTGGGTCATCAAACATCTCACATCACATAATTACACTTTTCAGTGGGGGTTATTAAACATTTAAACCATTGTCGTGACGCCAGCCTATCCATATACCGTGGATTCTTTTTCTAGAATAAACGCTTCCTAAATCTGTTGCTTAAATGGACTCACCAAATTATATTCAATTGTTTCCTTTGTGTGCCTAATTTCATTAAGTTTGAAATAGCCAATTTACTGATTTCTGTTCACCAATAGAATTAATTTAAAACTTACCTTTAATTTTTTTTATTTTGTATATGCCTTCACTGGGAATCAAACCCCTCCTTGAAATCTGTTATGTGTGACTGAAATCAACACATCGACGAAACCTATTGGCTACCAATAGGTTGCAATTTAATTGTCTATTATATACATATAAATGAACATATGATACACATCGGTACAACAAACACACAGGGTTTGTACCTTTATGTATACATAATAGACAATCCTATAGTATAAGTTGGTAGCCGCGAGGTTAACATGGTTAAGATCAATGAGTTAAAGGGTCAAGTTAAAGGTAGAGACTTGTCGGTTTAGGTTCGAATCCCTGTATTCTCTTTGTTCTCCCTATTCTTTAGTTTTTCCGTTTTTCTTATTTTGTATGTGACTGAGGATATTTTGTAATAATAGTGAGTTTTCCCGTTTATTTTTAGATTATTATTGGCTATTTTACATATTTGAAAAGAAAATGATTACATTCAATTTGTCCATTTTTGTTTTATAGATATAGTATGCTTTCATCTATTTTACTACATAATCTTAACAAATGTTTATTCGCAAATCCCTATGCGAGTAAATTGTGATGTGCCTAGAATTAGGCTTCTTGATAGAATTTTCGGTAGCATACTTATTATATGTACTTAGAAATACGTTTGAATATGTCTTATTTTGTAAATTACGGATGATATTCAGATGCCTGATAATTTAATGACAGACGTGTTATGTTATATTTGTATTTCTGTAACCAATTAATTGTGAACTTAGATTTATTAATGCATCGTTGAACATGATAACATGGTTATTGAAACTCACTTACAATACCTTCTAATTAAGTAAAGGCTTTGATTTTGAAAAGACATCAACACAATAGTTTAAGATAGAGATACAATGGATAAGCGATGATTCATCGTATCTATAATACGTCATATCACATGATTTCAGATTAATTACCTGGAGCTGCAATACTAGAAGATGTTGCTGGACTTGGTACTGGTGTTGCCACAGCAGACCCTGGTGTTGATATGGCTGATCCAGGACTTGGTCTAAAAGATAAGAATTACTACATACAGATTGACTGATTGATTGTTAGTTGCTTAACGTCCAGTGACAAATATTTCATGCATGATCAGGACGAGACTACATACCAAAAGTACAACTTTATTTTTGTATTAATTTATTTACTATTTATTTTTAAGTCTAGCAGTAAATACGTAAATTCAAAATTAACTTCCAATCATATGCTGCTTGTAAACAAATTTTAAAATTGTGATGAAAATGTGAGTTGTGCAAATATCCTTTATCTCCTTTATATCGTCTAATTTAACAGTGTTTACCTAAAATGTCTACAAAATTTGTTAGGGTAGACATGCAAATTAATGGGAGGCAGGAAACATGTATTTGTGTTTGCCTTGTAAGTCATTATGCATGTTATGTGACCTTTACTTTTAACCTTGATAAAAATAATTATCCTCTCTCCATCATGAAGAATCACATCAAATATGAGAAGTTGATGCAAAAATGGAAACTATATCATGCCTACAAATTTTTTGTCTCCCTTTTCTGTTGACCTTGTTCTTATAACTTGAAAAGTGTGTATATTCTTTTATTGCTAAGTTTTTATTAAGTAAAGGGAAGAGAGAATGTAAAGCTCAGTTGTGTTGTGAAAAATAAGATATGCACTTGTATAGATGGACAGATAAATAGATGCATTGTAATGGAAAGAAAAGGGCATATATAAATACCTTTGTGGTGTAGACAAAGGTGATCCCTCTTTCTGAAATTACAAACCAAAAATAAACATGATATTTAAATAAAAATGTATCAACTGAAGACAATAATTACAATATTATTTCTGATGAACACAAAATGTCTTATCTATTATGCTGGGGTGTTGTCTTAATTATCTTTACCCAACATCCCCTTTTATTCATATTTTTCATCATTTATATACTGAGTTTTATCAATAAAAATGTCATAAAATACATATAATTTCATATCATATTAGATGTAGTGTGTTTTCCATAATTATTATGAATGTATTGTACCAAGTTTGGTCAATGTTTGATGTAAGTCTCAATTTCTACAAGTCCATGAATCTTTGAAATCTGCTGAGCTCCAACTCAAGAGACTCACACGAAAGTTAACTTTTTTATATATTGCTGTTAATGATTTTTAAAGCCAAACAATTGCAAGATTTTACTTAATAAGCTTTTGGAGACTTTTTTATCATACTTACTTCTGCTGAACTACTAACATTCATAAAAGCAGGAAGTGGTGTAGGAGGTGAGACACTACTGATGTTTGGTGTAGGAAGAGCTGGTGTGGAACTACCTGAAGCTATAACATCATAAAGTAATATTTTTTTAAATCCCACATGTCCTTTCAAATTTTTGACATTCTTTCTAAATATTTAAATGTTGTTTCAGTATAAAGATTTCAGTATGAATATAAAAAGGACTATCACTACTGACAATGTGCGGACTGAATGAAGGGGTGATTTTCAAAAATAGCAAGTGGCACCATCCTTTCAGTCATCCCCATCCTTTAAACATTTCAAGGTAATACACTAGAGAATATAACATTAATCAAATAACTTAAAAAGATATTTTTTTAATTCACTAATACTTCTTCATTTTAAAAATTTTCAACATACTACAAAAAATAAGGAACACAACAGTTCTCACTATTATGGATTCAATTATTTACATGGATTATAAGCTTTTGTGTTTTTGTCAAAGACTGTACATGTAATGCCTATGTAAAATATATACTTTGTTGAACATTCAAATTTGTGGTTTGTCTATAGTCATGAATCTATGAAAATTGGTATACAATAAATAATAATGAATCCACAGTATATTTAAAGTCATATAAAAATTTTTAAAAAGTTGAATATGTTTTATATACTTGAATGGTTAAGTTTGACTATAAAACAAGTGTACATGAACTTTCTTGTAAAAGAAAATCCTTTTAACTTTATATTATAACAAGAAATGATTGTAACAGGATGCTGTTACGAAGTCTCCCAAACGAAGCTCCCATAATTCGTAATTCCCAGGGTCGCCTGACATTGGGCAACGTCCAGTGAAAATTGGTTTGGTCCAGTAAAATTATATGCATTAGTGATGCCTGGGGACTAACCTTGTATATCATTCAAATCATCTTGGCATGACAAACCAGAATATATATGGTTTAGGGGTGGGGATCTCAACCATTTACAAGATACTAGAATATTGGGGGTGGGAGGAACCCCTGGGGACTGACCCTATACGTCATTCAAATGTTCATTACATGACGAACAGGAATATATATGGTTTAGGGGTGGCGATCTCAACCATTTACAAGATATTAGAACATTGGGGGTGGGGGGAACCCCTGGGGACTGACCGTATACGTCATTCAAATGTTCGAGACATGACAAATAGGAATATATATGGTTTAGGGGTGGGGATCTCAACCATTTACAAGATATTAGAACTTTCTCAAATGGCAGGGGGTCGAGATGACCCCTGGGGACTAACCCTGTCTATCATTCAAACCATCTTCGCATGACAAACCAGAATATATATGGTTTAGTGGTGGGGATCTTGACCACTTAGAAGATATTAGAACTTTCTTAAATGGCAGGGGGTGGGGGTGACCCCTGGAGACTAACCCTGTATTTCATTTGATGTGCTTTATCATGACAAACCAGAATATATATGGTTTAGGGGTGGGGATCTAGACCATTTACAAGATATTAGAACTTTCTCAAATGGCAAGGGATGGGGGTGACTGCTGGGGACTAACCCTGAATAACATTTGATGTGCTTTATCATGACAAACCAGAATATATATGGTTTAGGGGTGGGGATCTCGACCATTTACAAGATATTAGAACTTTCTCAAATGGCAGGGGGTCGGGATGACCCCTGGGGACTAATCCTGTATATCATTCAAACCATCTCAGCATGACAAACCAGAATATATATGGTTTAGGGGTGGGGATCTTGACCACTTAGAAGATATTAGAACTTTCTTAAATGGCAGGGGGTGGGGGTGACCCCTGGGGACTAACCCTGTATTTCATTTGATGTGCTTTATCATGACAAACCAGAATATATATGGTTTAGGGGTGGGGATCTCAACCATTTACAAGATATTAGAACTTTCTCAAATGGCAGGGGATCGGGATGACCCCCTGGGGATTAACCCTGTATATCATTCAAACCATCTTAGCATAACAAACCAGAATATATATGGTTTAGGGGTGGGGATCTTGACCACTTTCAAGATATTAGAACTTTCTTAAATGGCAGGGGGTGGGGGTAACCCCTTGGGACTAACCCTGTATTTCATTTGATGTGCTTTATCATGACAAACCAGAATATATATGGTTTAGGGGTGGGGATCTCAACCATTTACAAGATATTAGAACTTTCTCAAATGGCAGGGGATCAGGATGACCCCTGGGGACTAACCCTGTATATCATTCAAACCATCTTAGCATAACAAACCAGAATAAATATGGTTTAGGGGTGGGGATCTTGACCACTTTCAAGATATTAGAACTTTCTTAAATGGCAGGGGGTGGGGGTAACCCCTTGGGACTAACCCTGTATTTCATTTGATGTGCTTTATCATGACAAACCAGAATATATATGGTTTAGGGGTGGGGATCTAGACCATTTACAAGATATTAGAACTTTCTCAAATGGCAAGGGATGGGGGTGACTGCTGGGGACTAACCCTGTATAACATTTGATGTGCTTTATCATGACAAACCAGAATATATATGGTTTAGGGGTGGGGATCTCGACCATTTACAAGATATAAGAACTTTCTCAAATGGCAGGGGGTCGGGATGACCCCTGGGGACTCACCCTGTATATCATTCAAACCATCTCAGCATGACAAACCAGAATATATATGGTTTAGGGGTGGGGATCTTGACCACTTAGAAGATATTAGAACTTTCTTAAATGGCAGGGGGTGGGGGTGACCCCTGGGGACTAACCCTGTATTTCATTTGATGTGCTTTGTCATGACAAACCAGAATATATATGGTTTAGGGGTGGGGATCTCAACCATTTACAAAATATTAGAACTTTCTCAAATGGCAGGGGATCGGGATGACCCCTGGGGATTAACCCTGTATATCATTCAAACCATCTTAGCATAACAAACCAGAATATATATGGTTTAGGGGTGGGGATCTTGACCACTTTCAAGATATTAGAACTTTCTTAAATGGCAGGGGGTGGGGGTAACCCCTTGGGACTAACCCTGTATTTCATTTGATGTGCTTTATCATGACAAACCAGAATATATATGGTTTAGGGGTGGGGATCTCAACCATTTACAAGATATTAGAACTTTCTCAAATGGCAGGGGATCAGGATGACCCCTGGGGACTAACCCTGTATATCATTCAAACCATCTTAGCATGACAAACCAGAATATATATGGTTTAGGGGTGGGGATCTTGACAACTTAGAAGATATTAGAACTTTCTTAAATGGCAGGGGGTGGGGGTGACTGCTGGGGACTAACCCTGTATAACATTTGATGTGCTTTATCATGACAAACCAGAATATATATGGTTTAGGGGTGGGGATCTCGACCATTTACAAGATATTAGAACTTTCTCAAATGGCAGGGGGTCGGGATGACCCCTGGGGACTCACCCTGTATATCATTCAAACCATCTCAGCATGACAAACCAGAATATATATGGTTTAGGGGTGGGGATCTTGACCACCTACAAGGTATAAGAACTTTCTTAAATGGCAGGGGGTGGGGGTGACCCCTGGGGACTAACCCTGTATTTCATTTGATGTGCTTTATCATGACAAACCAGAATATATATGGTTTAGGGGTGGGGATCTCAACCATTTACAAGATATTAGAACTTTCTCAAATGGCAGGGGATCGGGATGACCCCTGGGGACTAACCCTGTATATCATTCAAACCATCTTAGCATAACAAACCAGAATAAATATGGTTTAGGGGTGGGGATCTTGACCACTTTCAAGATATTAGAACTTTCTTAAATGGCAGGGGGTGGGGGTAACCCCTTGGGACTAACCCTGTATTTCATTTGATGTGCTTTATCATGACAAACCAGAATATATATGGTTTAGGGGTGGGGATCTCAACCATTTACAAGATATTAGAACTTTCTCAAATGGCAGGGGATCGGGATGACCCCTGGGGACTAACCCTGTATATCATTCAAACCATCTTAGCATGACAAACCAGAATATATATGGTTTAGGGGTGGGGATCTTGACAACTTAGAAGATATTAGAACTTTCTTAAATGGCAGGGGGTGGGGGTAACCCCTTGGGACTAACCCTGTATTTCATTTGATGTGCTTTATCATGACAAACCAGAATATATATGGTTTAGGGGTGGGGATCTCAACCATTTACAAGATATTAGAACTTTCTCAAATGGCAGGGGATCGGGATGACCCCTGGGGACTAACCCTGTATATCATTCAAACCATCTTAGCATGACAAACCAGAATATATATGGTTTAGGGGTGGGGATCTTGACAACTTAGAAGATATTAGAACTTTCTTAAATGGCAGGGGTGACCCCTGGGGACTAACCCTGTATTTCATTTGATGTGCTTTATCATGACAAACCAGAATATATATGGTTTAGGGGTGGGGATCTCGACCATTTACAAGATATTAGAACTTTCTCAAATGACAGGGGGTGGGGATGACCACTGGGGACTAACCCTGTATATCATTCAAACCATCTTAGCATGACAAACCAGAATATATATGGTTTAGGGGTGGGGATCTTGACAACTTAGAAGATATTAGAACTTTCTTAAATGGCAGGGGGTGGGGGTGACCCCTAAGGGACTAACCCTGTATTACATTTGATGTGCTTTATCATGACAAACCAGAATATATATGGTTTAGGGGTGGGGATCTCGACCATTTACAAGATATTAGAACTTTCTCAAATGACAGGGGGTGGGGATGACCACTGGGGACTAACCCTGTATATCATTCAAACCATCTTAGCATGACAAACCAGAATATATATGGTTTAGGGGTGGGGATCTTCACCTCTTACAAGGTATTAGAACTTTCTTAAATGGCAGGGGGTGGGGGTGACCCCTGGGGACTAACCCTGTATTTCATTTAATGGGCTTTATCATTTAGAACATTTTCAATTAAAAAGTTTGTGTCTATCACGAATGGTTTTCAATTTATAATCATTTGAAAATTTAAAAAAATAAAATCCCATAGGGTTCTATAGTAAAACCCTCTTTTCTTTTTGCCCCTCAAAGTACCCCTTTATAAACCCCATTGCAAAAACAAAACCCTGATTGCACCACTAGACATGTTAGTCTAACATATTGTGAAACCCTAAGTTAATTCGACAAGCGGTTTTGGAGAACGGGTGCGGACAAGTTCAAATTTAAAAGCGGCGGAAGAAGAAGAAGAGGAAGAAGAAGAAGAAGAAGAAGAAGAAGAATAATAATAATAACAAGAAATGATTGTAACAGGATGCTGTTACGAAGTCTCCCAAACGAAGCTCCCATAATTCGTAATTCCCAGGGTCGCCTGACATTGGGCAACGTCTTGTGAAAATTGGTTTGGTCCAATAAAGTTATATGCATTAGTGATGCCTGGGGAATAACCTTGCATATCATTCAAATCATCTTGGCATGACAAACCAGAATATATATGGTTTAGGGGTGATGATCTCGACCATTTACAAGATACTAGAACATTGGGGGTGGGGAGGAACCCCTGGGGACTGGCCCTATACGTCATTCAAATGTTCATTACATGACGAACAGGAATATATATGGTTTAGGGGTGGGGATCTCAACCATTTACAAGATATTAGAAGATTGGGGGTGGGGGGGAACCCCTGGGGACTGACTGTATACGTCATTCAAATGTTCGAGACATGACAAATAGGAATATATATGGTTTAGGGGTGGGGATCTCAACCATTTACAAGATATTAGAACTTTCTCAAATGGCAGGGGGTCGGGATGACCCCTGGGGACTAACCCTGTATATCATTCAAACCATCTTCGCATGACAAACCAGAATATATATGGTTTAGGGGTGGGGATCTTGACCACTTAGAAGATATTAGAACTTTCTTAAATGGCAGGGGGTGGGGGTGACCCCTGGGGACTAACCCTGTATTTCATTTGATGTGATTTATCATGACAAACCAGAATATATATGGTTTAGGGATGGGGATCTCGACCTTTTACAAGATATTAGAACTTTCTCAAATGGCAGGGGGTCGGGATGACCCCTGGGGACTAACCCTGTATATCATTCAAACCATCTTAACATGACAAACCAGAATATATATGGTTTAGGGGTGGGGATCTTGACCACCTACAAAGTATAAGAACTTTCTTAAATGGCAGGGGGTGGGGATGACCCCTGGGGACTAACCCTGTATTTCATCTGATGTGCTTTATCATGACAAACCAGAATATATATGGTTTAGAGGTGGGGATCTCAACCATTTACAAGATATTAGAACTTTCTCAAATGGCAGGGGATCAGGATGACCCCTGGGGACTAACCCTGTATATCATTCAAACCATCTTAGCATGACAAACCAGAATATATATGGTTTAGGGGTGGGGATCTTGACCACTTAGAAGATATTAGAACTTTCTTAAATGGCAGGGGGTGGGGGTGACCCCTGGGGACTAATCCTGTATTTCATCTGATGTGCTTTATCATGACAAGCCAGAATATATATGGTTTAGGGGTGGGGATCTCGACCATTTACAAGATATTAGAACTTTCTCAAATGGCAGGGGGTCGGGATGACCCCTGGGGACTAACCCTGTATATCATTCAAACCATCTTAGCATGACAAACCAGAATATATATGGTTTAGGGGTGGGGATCTTGACCACTTACAAGGTATTAGAACATTCTTAAATGGCAGGGGGTGGGGGTGACCCCTGGGGACTAACCCTGTATTTCATTTAATGGGCTTTATCATTTAGAACATTTTCAATTAAAAAGATTGTGTCTATCACAAACGGTTTTCAATTTATAATCATTTGAAAATTTTTAAAAATAAAATCCCATAGGGTTCTATAGTAAAACCCTCTTTTCTTTTTGCCCCTCAAAGTACCCCTTTATAAACCCCATTGCACAAACAAAACCCTGATTGCACCACTAGACATGTTAGTCTAACATATTGTGAAACCCTAAGTTAATCTAACAAGCGGTTTTGGTGAACGGGTGCGGACAAGTTCAAATTTAAAAGCGGCGGAAGAAGAAGAAGAAGAAGAAGAAGAAGAAGAAGAAGAAGAAGAAGAAGAAGAAGAAGAATAATAATAATAAGAACTGAGCAAAAACAATAAGTCTTCCCAAACTTCGTTTGGGAGACTTAATAAGAACTGAGCAAAAACAATAAGTCTTCCCAAACTTCGTTTGGGAGACTTAAAAATCTTCATAAATGTACTGCTATTGAATTATTGTCTTCCTGTACACTACTTAGCCAAGATTTTCCCGTATGCAGTGACCTTTACTACAAGACCTCTCGTTAGAAGTTCGGCCACCGCACAGCGCAAGTGCAGGAGCAAAAAAGGGATGAAAAAATGTAATCAAATGTGCACTGGAATTTAAATAGTAATAACTGATTCTTAAAGAACAAAAGCAATACAACAAATCATTAACAACTGTTAAAGAATTACTTTACAAATGAGAATGCATGGAAAATATAAAACAAAATTATCATGGCTTTATCCATCCCCTTATTTATCATGTGCTCCACATGCTCTCTGTTGATTGTTTATCAATGTCACAATCAGGTAAACTTCGTCAACAAACTCGAAAGTTAATTAGCTTTCAATCAACAATCATTAAATGAAATATTATTTGTCAATAGTACATTTTAGATTCGTAATAAATATAAAATACATGCATACAGGACTTAGTCTAGTATATATGCATGCATTGGTTCAATAATTTCGATAACATCCAAATTACAAGAAACTCGTTTCATATGACTTTAAAACTGCTGCAAAATTTTACATTTACCATTTATTTCTGCTTCTTGCATTTGCCTCGCCATATCTGCTTCTTCTTTAGTTATAATCTCTGTGGATTCATCAGATGATTCCTCCATCATTTTGTCAATCTATAACTAAAATATCAATTAGAAAAAAAAAAAATATTTATTTAACTACTGTATTGTATGATTTGAAATGTGCAAAGTTTTCCTTGCAGTCTGAATTGGACTAATTTCCTGACTTGGACTTGATAAACCAGTACTTGCCCATTTACTGTTTTCATCTTGAGTTCTCAACAGAAATTGCTTTTCTGAATTCATCACTTAATTTATCACAAATTTATGAAACTTTTTATCGGATCAACATCCACCAAGTTAAATGACTGGCCACTTAGTGTCTGAGATTTTAACACAAATGTAAAACTAAATAGTTTAAGTCAGTGAAGTGTAAAATGTAGGTCAGTGACCAACTACTTGTAAGATAAATGTACATCTGCTTTTCTACTGTGGATTCATTATTATTCGTTGGATACCAATTTTAAGAGGTTTTCGTAGGTACAGGTGAACCACGAAATTAAATGTTCAACGAATGACAAATTTCCTATAGGCATGTATGCAGACTTTGGCTAAACCACGAAATTAAACATCCACGAACATGTAAGTTTTCCTTAATCCACGAAAATTGGTACCCACGAAAATAAACGAATCCACAGTATCTTAGAAACATCACTACACATTGTTAAGGTTGTATAGGTCTCGTGGTATCTAAGATATGAATTTGACATAAAAACTTAATACAAGTCAGTGTGGCATAGAATGTACTCAATGTAGATCATAATGAGTAAAAAGGAAGAGGTACTCTAAATGTAAGGATAATGGAGCACCTAAAATGGTCAATTGTCTAAAGATCACAATAACCTATGTTTGTGTGATGCAGCTTTACACCCCTAGATGCAATTGTTAAACCAGGTTATTGTAGGACACTAAGCATCTGAGATCTGAACTCAGACATAAACCTTATATCAGTAAAGTTTAACTTAATCAAAACCACTGAACCATGACATAAAAGTTCATGTGACCTACATTTACATCCTATAACAATTGGGCAATTTCTCTAAAACACACCTGCCTACTTAATTTTAAGGTTGTTTTAGTTTCTTAGAAGTTTCAGCAGACAGGACAAGGATACATACGTGAACATTTACATAGAGGGTTCTACAATGGTTTCTCTAAAACTATCTTGGTCTAACTACAAACTTGGCTGTTAGATCTTAATTGTTATTTCATGTAATCCTTCAATGATTTCCTTTTAATAGGTATTTGGACAGCTCTGTTGGTCTGACTTGATCCACTACAGCAAACCTAAGACCTATAACCTGCCGAACACGAAAATCATAAGTTACAATACATGTAGTTTACTATATAATTAATCATGAACAACAATTCAAGGCAAAGACTGCTCTCAGTTATTGGTTCTAAATCTACCTGTACAGATTACTTTTGATAGTGGGAAGTTTATGCCATCAAAAATTAAACAGAAAAAATCATTCAATGACTGACATGAAATAATGCATGGAGTTGGTGCTAAACTAAATTAAACAAATAATCAAAGACATTAATTATAAAAAGAATATGTGGTATGATTGCCAATGAGACAACTCTCAACAAGAGACCAAGTGACACAGAAATTACCAACTATAGGTCATTGTACGGCCTTCAACAATGAGCAAAGCCCATACCGCATAGTCAGCTATAAAAGGCTCTGAAATGACAAATGTAAAAGAATTCAAACGAGAAAACTAAAGGCCTAACGTATGTACAAAATAATGAACGAAAAACAAATATGTTTCACAGCAACAAATGACCACCACTGAATTACAGGCTCCTGACTTGGGACAGGCACATACAGAATGTTTGCGGGGTTAAACTAGTTTGAAGGTGCCAACCCTGAGCCCTAACCTGGGACAGTGGTGTAACAGTACAACATAAGAACAAACTATAAAATCAGTTGAAAAAGGCTTAACTAATCAGATTGGATACAAATAGAAATACATCTAACAAAAACAGAGTGGACGTGGACGGGTACTTATACACCCCCACAACAAAAAGACAATAAGTACAGATCTGAGAATACTAGCAGTTACTGACAGCTAGTTCAAAGCCAAAAACAACAACAATAACAAAAGTCATGCATCTAAGACTAAAATATTAAACAGAACACATCCAATGGATTTAGCGTAAAGACATCATAAACAGGCAGAGAAAAACATGACCTTGTGCAATGCCAAGATACAGGTATCGACAGATTGTAGCGCCATGAATGTCCATATGTATATAAAATTAATATTTAGTTTGATTTTAATTTACTGATAACAAAATCAATATTAATACCAATTAAAACAATATTCAAAGATATAATTAATATCCATCTATCTTATAAAATTAGACTTTTCCATTGAATTATTTCATTTCTGTGCACTCATCACATATCGTAGTCAATCTTTCACAAAAATGTTTCAAATTCAAATTATTTGTTTTTTACTTTGTCAATGGAGTTAAATAAATGTTCTATGGGGATGGTGTGGAAATCATTAGATTAACTGCTATTAAGTGTTTAAATTCACCGACTCCAAGATTTACAACTTACTCAATGATGTCTTTATTAAAGACCAAGGAATATTTTCATACTGGGATGCAAAAATTTGAAAGTTTAAAGTTCTGTCACATTCATGACATTTAGGATTTAATAAACTTTTTAAAAAAGGTCAATGGTAACCTCATTCCCATGTGTCTGTTATTACAGGAGATCGAAGACAGTGCACATAAAGTTTTAACATAAGAAGGGAAAATAACACACTACAATCCAACAGTGATTTGTTTAGAAATAAAATTCCAAATGTTGATTAGTTCCATACATTCATGACATTGATTTCCAATTTCTGTTTTATGAATAAACTGTCACAGTTGACCTGTGGTCAATGAAGGAAACACATGTCATATGACATTGTGACTTGAAGAAATTTGATTTTTGACTTAAAATTTTTCCAGGGAAAATGCATTAATTGGAAAGTTGTGTAATAGTGAATCATTTCTTCCAGCGTAGTCTCTCCATTTACATGATTTATAAGAAATCATTATCAGAAGTGTAAAAACTCCCCCGACATATTTTCCCTAGGGTTTTATTTCCTAGGGAATGTACACACTAGTGTGAAGAAGGAATACACTAGTTGATTTCTTTAACCAGAAAAATCTACTATTCTGAATGACAGTATGCTTACATATTGCATAGACGTATTTACACTTGTATGCAAATTTGTCCGCCATTACGTAAAATCACACAGGTTCCCGTAAACTTTGACATCATAATTCAAAACATTTGACGTTACAATTAAAAAAGTGATTGTTGCCTGACGTCAAAAGGTGAATCGGAGTAGATCAAAGGTCATTCGGAGGCAAAATATAGCCAATTACCAAAAGTGTAAATACGTTTATTATTGTGCTGTTAGCATGCATGTATTCATGTCAAGTAGCTGTATCATGTATGGTGTGAGAGTGTGAGTATAACTGATGCCAAAATCAAATGTAATAATTATTAAACGATCGGTTTAAATATATATAAGAAAGCCAAACTCGGAATTTGGTCATAAATAACACAATAATCTGTGTATTTATGTGTTTATACAAAGGTAGCATCTGTTGCATTCGACAGTTGTCATTCCTCATGTCTGTTATGATGTACAAATTCGTGAACAATAAGTTTCATGAAAGAAGAAGAAATATCACGTAATGTGTTAACCTGTGTAATTGCTTTTGTTTACAAACAAATTGTCAATTTGTCGGTGACATCACTAGCCACGTCTGAAAATAAGCTCGGATGTTCTCTGGTTTTATCTTCAAGTATTTTACTGGTTCTCTAGTCTTATCCATGAAATACTGAATGAATCATTTCTCAACAGGGAACCAATCAAAAAGCCTACTTTCTTTTTCTAAAAATAGATGTTTTGCCGGAAATGATAACTCTTAACTAAAGATTGGCATCACTTCCTGTTACCTCTATAACAATTAAGGTTATTTGGTTTATGCAACCACCCAATATGACAATGAGATTTTTTCATGTTTTTTGTTGAATCACAAATGGATTTATGGTAGGTATTTTACTCTTTAATTTTCCATATGGTACAGGGCATGTTTAGAAATGATTATGAAATTGCGGCTATAGTCATGATAGTCATCCCTTTTAATAGCCTGTTTAGGCCTCTATTTTCAGCTCTAAATAAATATCAGTGGTGGAACTGAAAGTTGTAACTTTTAAAAAAATAACTTCAAATAGTTTTTTGTCTCATTACATTACTGGATAAGATTATCGCCAAACGATGACCATAAAAAAGGCATAATCTATTGTTATTTAGACCTTTCAAGGTACAAACATTTGTAACTCAAAGAAATTCCTGAGAACTGCTTATATTATTAATTCTTTTAAATATATATTTTGAAAAAGTTGTAGCACAACCATTTTAATGGTGGTACAAGTTCACATTGGTACGGCTTTGCCATGTTTGCAGTGGTACAAGTTCACGGTATCAGGTCCGTTCGCGCCCTATACACGTTTGCACCCTACACGTTCGCCCCCTAGGTCCATTCTCACCCTACACGTTCGCACCCAATTTTAATTCAAATTCAAGTTGAATTATTAGATATTTTTTTAAATGTATATACCAAAAAAATATATTTTCCTGAATATAAATTGGGGAATTATTATATGAATGTTTTTAGTTTTTTTTTTTTTTTTATCAGTTTGATGATTAATTATTAAATGTTAATTATTTACAAATGTATGATTACTGCTAATTGGTATTTATACACAGCTAAATTTGGTATTATTGTTGTGTGTTTGAAAATCATGATTGTTGTTTTAACTTGATTTGATGTAAATACCTGAATACTGCATGTATTTAGCTTGGTATGAGTAAATGAAAAAAAATTTATATCACAACACTAACCAAAACATAATTTAATATTTATTCAACACAAAAAAAACAAAAAAACACTTGAGAATCTCACTTTATTTTGAAACAATGAAAAAATAAATTTATAGCAATACACTAACCAAAAGATGATTAAGATTTATTCAACACAAAAAACAAACATTGTCAGAATTTCACTTTATTTAGAGACAATAATTTTTTTTTATAGCAATACACTAACCAAAACATGATTAAGATTTATTCAACACAAAAAAATGTTGTCTGAATCTCACTTTATTTTGAAACAATGAAAAAAATATGTTTACAGTAATACACTTACCAAAACTCGATTACAAAATTATTAAACACAAAACCAATAAAAAGGGTGCGAACGTGTAGGGTGCGAATGGACTTTGGGTGCGAATGTGTAGGGTGCGAAAGTGAAAGGGGGCGAACGTTAATGGGCGGGAATGTGTTTGTGGGGAAACGGACCCAGATTCCAAGTTCACATGGTGCAAATTAAAAAAGTACATGTATGAGTTAAATTGCTTCTGTGCATCTTGCATAGATACATATAGCACCATTTTAGATGTGTAGCAAAACTGTTGATTATACAGCATAGGTATATAAATACATTTTACATTTCTGTGTTTTATAAAATTATGTATTGTGTGAGCTTTTGTTCATGTCCTTTCTGTTCTGTGTTACAAATAATGCAAATGCAGCTCTAACAACATGACCAATTAATGTTCATAATGAATTAATAAATGGCCAAAGTGGTTAAAAATAACAAATTTTGTTTAGTCACATTCATATTTTATAAGCCACAAAAAGTATTTAATGGCTATCTTTTTGGAATATAATGTAGTAAGTTTAGTTTGATGACCTTAACACCCAGTCTTTGATAGAACCATGCAAAAGGCTTATAAGTGGGTCCACATGACATGTCAACCAAATGTAATGAAATTTTGCACATATGTTATGATAGTCAAGAGAAAAAAAATTCTAGCTTTAAAATTTGATTTAAGGCTTATTTTAGATTTTGCAGCGCCATCTATTCCAAAAGGCTTAATTTCCCAAAATTTCCACAAAAATGTCACAATTTTGTTACTCTGAATATGCTAGATATGGTTATGTTTAGCTGATATTTGAGTTGATTTTTATAACAAGCATCATTCGTCCTTCAAAACTTGACAAAATGTTTTTGCTTGAGTATAGCTATATTTTGGGGCTGACCGGTCTAAAAAGGGCATTTTGGACATTTTTTGGATACTTCCTAAAAAGGTCAACAAAAAGACAGGAAATCTTGTAAAGTACAATGCATTTTTTAATGTTTTAAATATTTCTATAAAAGTTTACATGTGTGCTACAAGTTTTATGATTTTTGATCTGGGGGTCTCCTACACCGTTACCATGGCAACAGAATAAAAATGAGTAACTTTCACATATTTTTCACAATAATCCGTGTATTTAATCATGAAAACTTATTTATCTTTTGACACTGGCTTATGATATTTGGCATGAAGGTGTATTACAATAAGACAGTGTATCTCATAAAAATTAAAACTGTCAAATGACCTTGACCTTTGACCTCAAGGTCAAAATACTTAATTTTTTTTACATTTTTATGCGCCCGTTTACGGGACGTATTAATGTATACCTCTGTCCGTCCGTCCGTCTGTCCGTCCGTCGTCAACATGTCGGACATTAACTCAAAAACGCTTTAACCAATTTGCATAAAACTTTGGTGAATTGTTTATATTCATTGACGTGAGCTCCCTTTCGTTTTTTATAAATTTTAGATTTTACGTTTCCGAGTTATAGGGTTTTATTCATTAAAAAAAGGGGGATTTTCCAGTTTTCTGACAATAACTCAAGAATGCTTTCACCAACTTGCAAGAAATTGTGGTGAATTGTTTATATCTATTGACATGAGCTCCCTTTCAATTTTTATAAATTTTAGATTTTACGTTTCCGAGTTACAGGGTTTTATTAAAAAAAAAAGGGGGATTTTCCAGTTTTCAGACAAAAACTCAAAAATGCTTTCAGCAGTTCTTATGAAACTTTGGTGAATTGTTTATATCTATTGATGTAAGCTCCCTTTAGAATTTTATAAATTTTACATTTTACATTTCTGAGTTATGGGGTTTTATTCATTTAAAAAGGGGGATTGTCCAGTTTTCTGACAATAACTCAAGAATTCTGTCACCAACTTGCAAGAAATTGTGGTGAGTTGTTTATATCTATTGACATGAGCTCCCTTTTGATTTTGATAAATTTTCGATTTTACGTTTCCGAGTTACAGGGTTTTATTAAAAAAAAAAAGGGGGATTTTCCAGTTTTCAGACAAAAACTCAAAAATGCTTTCAGCAGTTCTTATGAAACTTTGGTGAATTGTTTATATCTATTGATGTAAGCTCCCTTTAGGATTTTATAAATTTTACATTTTACATTTCTGAGTTATGGGGTTTTATTCATTAAAAAAGGGGGATTTTCCAGTTTTCTGACAATAACTCAAAAATGCTGTCAGCAATTCTCATGAAACTTTGGTGAATTGTTTATATCTATTGATGTAAGCTCCCTTTTGATTTTCATAAATTTCTAATATGACATTGAGAATTAATTGAACTTTATTTGTTTATAGTCTTACAACAGATTTACTAAGTACTGCGCAACAGCACAGTGTATTGCACAACAGCAAGAAATCTTTAATTGAATATAAATTCAATTCATATAACCAATTTCAAGTTCTTTGACTACATTTATTCAGAAACCTGTAATATGTCAAATATTTAATTACAATCCAAATTCAGACCTGTATCAAGTTTGAATATTGTGTCCATTTTTGCCCCAACCGTTCAGGGTTGGACCTCTGCGGGCGTATCCAGCTGCGCTCAGCGAAGCAGTTTATCTTATCTGGAGCACACCTTTTCCTCTCCCTTGACAAAGTCTTTTCATAATTTACACATAAGTGCAGCTACTCAATATCATGTGTCACTTACCATGAATGATGACCTTGATCTTTTACCTTCAAGGTCAAATAAAAAGTCAAGGTCAAATATTTAATTTCATATGTCACCCTAAAACCAAGCATATTCTTTCTTGCCATGTCAATTTTTAAAATGAAGAGATGTGGACTGATGCAGCTTATGAGACAACTATCAACGTCAGTTAAAATGAAGTGGTAGTAAGCAATTCATAGGCCACATTAAGTGCAAGACCTTTTTTAGTGCAGCTAAGGGTTTGTCCCTGGGGTTCATGCCCCGTCCCTCATAAAATAATGATGTTATTTAGATTTATCTAAAAAAAAGGGTTCAGAACTCCATCCTTAACCCATATTTAATCTTAATTGCCTTTCTAGTTCATCATGAGGGACATGCCCTGCCCCCTACATACCATTGATTGTAAAATAGCTTGAAATATGTTCATATCCCTACCTCTAAATCATATATATATTCTCAATCAGCAAGACAGCACCTTTGAGTACACCATATATGTTTTTGGTGTGGTTTGTGCCCCTTATATATCTGTTCAGATACCCACCCCTAAATCATGTACTCAGATAAATATATCATGACTAGACCAATTAAGTGTACCATACATGTATATTGTGTCCCTCATGCCCTACCCCCTCGTTTCATAAATTGGTAAATATATGGAAAACAGTACATATTTCCATGCATTAACCATATATTCTTACTTGCAATGACAATCTTTTTTTTTACCAGGATGATTTCTACAGGGGAGACATTAGTTTTAATTCACTAAAACGGTTCTACCTAGTTGTAATTAAATTCAAAGACAATTTGGTAGAATTCTGACTTTATGCAGAAAAATTTGAAATACTGTGAATTCAGAACGTAATGTGTGTAATATTATTATTGCATATTCATGGTGACTGTCAAAAATGTGAGATTAATTAAAGCAAATTTAAATTATATTGAATA